CAGACCCCTGATATTTCCCTTTTAAAACAGAAAAAGAGATTGAGGACACATAGTCCTTAATCTAATTTTCTGCAGCCCCTGTTATGAATCAACAAAAAGCATCTATACTGAGTGTTCCTGTTCATTCATAACATGAGGAAATAATATGTTTACTATTAATATTACTATAGTATGTCCACAATCATCAATGAACAGTAAGTGATGTAGAGCACTTCCTGTTCATTCATAATTGGGGATACAGTGAATATACTATGCCCTCAATTATTCACAAACACTCAGCGATCACTGATTGCTGACTGCTTGTACCTGCTCTCCATTCTGACTCGCTGTCACAGGAGGCTGAGCCGGCGATGCGGGGAAGAAAGCTCGGGTTCTGACAGCTGGCTCCTCCCCCGCACTGCCGGCTCGGCCTCCTGTCTCCTCCCCCACACCACTCTCCGTCCTGATCTGTCACAGGAGGCTGAGCGAGGCAGTGCGGGAGGAGAGCTTGGCCTCCTGTGACATCGCCACTCACAGCATTCTCCTACCCGCCCCACCTCCTGACAGTTTCTCTCCTCCGCGCTGGGTGTTACTCTGTGTCAGGCTCCAGTCACATCATATCCAGTGCATTCTTCCATTTTTACTGGTTCTTTAAATTTTGCCTATCACCAAATGTTGTTATCTCCATTGTGAGTAAACATCTCATGGGTTTCCAGATATGGCGAATGGTCAGCCTAATAGGTACTATTGAACAGCAACGCGCCAGACACAGGTTGCACAAGCATCGTTTGCATCAATCAAGTCGTAATCCAATTATTCTCCCTGCCAGTGAGGTCAGTGCTGCTAGTACTGTCTTCTTCTGTAGTCACCACAGCTTCTATTGCCAGACACAAATTGGGATTTTCCACATTTCTGCTGCACATGAGGTTGCCTAGAAACAGATGTGATGACACAGGTTGCAATATGACCACAAACATCTCAGTGTTTTACTTCCTACGCCATTCTTGGTATTATCATTGCAGTGTGTCCTTGGAGGCTCACTTTCCACAGATGAAGAATTTCAGACAGGTTGAAACACAATTTGATGGATACTAAGTTCAAGAACAGATCACTGACATCCCCTGGAGCAATAAGGAAATGTCTTACCACTGAAGGCTTTTTTTAGAGCTTAAAAAATATGCTCAAGAATCATTGGGGGGGAATTTATGAACATTGGAGTGATTGCCAAGTGATCTTTATCTCTGTCCATTAAGTCCTGAGATTTACACAGTTCTGCCCCATAGCACACAGTCTGCATTTTCTAAAGCAAGGAAAATACTTTCTTGTATTAAAGATGTATAGAGTCCAGTCAAAGGGACATCATCTGCCCCTGTACAGAGCATTAGTAAGATGTAAGAAGGGCAACTAATTGATAAGAGGCATGCAGGAGCCTCTGCTGAAAGATTAACTGATCAGAATTTATTCTACCTTGAGAACAGGCAATTAAGTGGGGATATGATCACCATGTATACATTTAGAAATGGTCCATATAGTGAACTTGGTGCAAGGTCCTTGCAAAGGAAAAGCGGCACTCTTTGTGTCTGGTGGAAAAGAGCTTTTACGTTTGCTTACGGAAAGGCTTCTTCACAGAAGAGCTGTGAAATGTGGAATCGGCTACCTCAGGAACTAGTCTGAGCCAGCTCAGTTATTTCTTTTTTTTTTTTTTAAATCTGAATGCATTCCTAAATGTGCAGAATATAACTGGATATTAACATTTTATCAGTAATAACACCAGAGATTGTTGATCCAGGGAATAGCCTATTGCCTTAAAGTTCAGGAAGGATTTTTTCCCCTGTTTGGAACAAATTGAACCATGCTTTAATAAGGTTTTTTTTTTTTTTTGCTTCCTCTAAATCTACCATGGGTAACTGTAGACACAGGGTTCTGTTTATGGAGACTTTCTATTTATTTATTCTTTTTTTTCTGTTGGTTGAACTCAATGGACCTGTGTCTTTTTTCAACCTATGTAACTATGAGGTCAGTGATTTACACTCATCCTCAGTTAGAACCGACCTGTGACAAAGAAGCTGTCACAGGTTGGCTCTATCGATCAGGAAGTAAGCAGAAACATGCACCAATCCGCTCACTTCCCCATCATCTCGCTGCAGTGAGCGGTGGCTGTCAGTCACCACTCTGCCCAGGAATTTCCCCCTCCCCTCTCCGGTCCTCCAGCGCTGAGTGGAGGAATGAACGGGGCAGGCACAGCTGGCTCTGCCTCTAGATAGGCAGAGCCCGCTGTCACTCATGCAACTGGGTGGATCTCGACAGTATTGTCAGGATCCGTCCTGGCTGCGGCGATCTCAGTATATCGCGGGCAATAGCCTTTAGGTCACGGGAGGAGATTAGTATATGTCCTCCCATGACCCTAAAGAGGACTATGGGGAAAAACACTTACCCCATAGTTCTCTTTTAATTTGTGTCTGACATATTTGCCTGGAGTTCATCTTTGAGAGTAAATGTAATAATAGGTTATACAAATTTTTTGTTTCTTTTTTTATTGTGAGCTGTCGTGATGGATACATTCTGTATTGCTGGTAATCATTGCTCATATATTACTTGACACAAAAATGGGATGCTATCCTGCTGCAGACCCAAATATGTATGGAATCTTTTTTCTAAGCAGCGCATCTAAATACAAAAACAGATAACTATTCACTTTCCATGTTTATGATTTATTTTGGGTTTAATTTACTATTCTCCCTTAACCTCCCTGGCGGTATTCCCGAGTGTGGCTCGGGGTTAATTTTCAGTACCAAGAGCGGTAACACAGAGCCACACTCAGGATTGTGCAAAAGTGTCACTTACCTTGTCCCTGCGAGCCCGCGGTGTCCGGCAGGGCCGGCGGGAAATTCAAAAGTGAAAACATGATATTTACACGGAATACACACAATACAATGTAATTTGCTATACTTACATATATTTATCAAACAATTTCTCTTCAATTTTGTCCCTAGAGCTTTGTTATAAAACAACAAATTGCCATGAAAAACAATGTACCGCTTTTGGCATGCTAAAATCCTCCATAATCATACCGCCAGGGAGGTATAACTAAGAGGACTCTGCTGGATGAAAAGGCTACATAGACAGAGGAGGCTTCACACATACAACTGTATAAAAGATGAAAGGTGAATACTGTACACAAAAGGGGTCTAGTGACCACCACAGCCCAATATGTGATTTAAGATGACCTGTGGCCTTGCTTGATTTTACAGTTGTGTCTTAGTGGTCAGTGAAATGCCATGGCCCTTAAAAGGTAATTTCACTCTTTATGCTGGATTTTCCACCTATTTTAAAGTGCAGCAGGAAGAATAAGATTTGTTGTCTTTGCAGTAACCATGGCAAGGGACAGAACCAGGAGATCTCATGTGGCATCATTGTTGGGTTAGATTGAGAACTATAGTGGGATGAGTCTGACAATAGACTTCCTCAAGCTACATCAAGCCAGTGCACATCAAAATCCAATTTAGAGAATACCATTTTGGTAAATGCAAATATGGTAACATTTTCATGAAGGGTAACACAAACGTGGCTGTAGACCAGCAGTTCTCAACCTGTGGGTCGGGACCCCTTCGGGGGTCGAATGACAATTTGCCAGGGGTCGCCGGGAGTCTCCCACTATTAGATAGCTATTAGATTATCATCATTATTATTAATAATAAAAGCTGACACCCTCGGCTTGTGTTATATGGTTTGCCATTTTAGCTGTTACAACAGTGGTTCTCAACCTGTGGGTCGCTGTGTGATTTCTGCTATGCTCGGTGAGAGTCCTCCTCAGCCTTCTCCTAGCGCAGCAGTGTCAGTTCTCCCTCCACGCCGCCAGATGTCGCTGCAGCAGCCGCGTCAACCCTAACATTTTACCGTTGGGGGTCACCACAACTTGGCAAATGTTACCAAGGGGTCCCGGCCCTAGAAAGGTTGAGGACCACTGCTGTAGACAATGAAGTGGAGCAGGCAGAATACTCTCCTTGTGTAGTCTGCCTAAGGGTCTGAAAAGGAAATTTCACTGCTCACCCCCAGCACCACATGGCAAGCTCTAAACTAAGATGGGCCTTTCCATCCTTGCTAACCTTTTCTTATATATTAGCCCTGTCAAGCTGCTCACAGCCCCCATGTTCAGAGTAAAGGTGAGTTTCAGTCCTTGCCCTTGTGGATTATACAGAAAGAATGTAACTTCACCTCACTGCTGAAGGATGGAATTGATGAATGAATGCAGCAGCAAAGTATATACATCTTCCTTTAGGTCCAACCATTTAAAGAGTTTTACCCTGCAATTCTGGTATTTGCTGCAATCAGCACTGCACATTCTTTGATTCCCTGTACTTTGTACCAAGACTTAACTCTAAGGGGGTCTGTTCACTAAGCTGCCGTAGGCAGCCGAGTGAACGACCGACCTGAAGCGAAGTGAGCCAAACGCTGTTCGGCTATTCACTTCAGGCTGGTACGGCTGCATTCAGCCGTATATCAGCTGAAATCAGCCTTACATCGTGTAGCTTCGGGTCGGCCGAACATGCTCATCATGTTCGGCCAACCCGAAGTGCAGAAGGAGTTCGACTCAGCCTATCCAACATGTGGATCGGCTAAGCCAAACCTTCGGCAGGCTACTCGCTGCTGTTCAGTTTATTCTTATAGATGCCGAACAGCAGTGAGTGAATAGCTGAATGCCGCTGAGCGGCATTCGGCTCGACTGTTCTGCTCGCTCAATAATGAATGGTCTTTGAACTACAGGTGTTTTTTCACAAAAGCAAGTACAGTTTTCACACCATTATTGTTACGTGCATTTATCACAAAGGCTAATTTTCCAGCCAGAAGAATATATGCACATTGGCAAGAAGGATTTCTAAAGGATGACACGCTGTATTTAAAGGCATTTCTATTATTAAAATAGTAAAATCCTACGATATCTGAATTCTAGACAATGAATTATAACAAATCCGTACCCCTGTGGGATTATAGATGTTATAGAGGAACACTACATGGCTTACCTGACAAGATAGATGCTACAGCGGCAATAATGAAAGAGACAATTACTCCAGGTCCAGCCATTTCCTTAGCAACTAGTCCAGAAACAACATACATCCCGGTTCCCACACAGCTGCCAACACCAAGTGAAACAAGGTCCACTGTAGTAAGTACGCGAGCCAACTTGGTTCCATGAGAAGAGGTTCCTGCAGTTCCTTCTAGCATAGACTCTACAGGCTTGGTTCGCAGCACTCTTGCATTGATTGCATGCCACGTGGCCCGCCATGGAATCCGTCTTGGGTCCAGATATGAAAGAAACCCACTCATGGTTTAAAGGATGTTTAGTGAGAAGTGACAAGAACAGCTGTGTCGAGGTCACTACACACTCTCCCAACATCCAGTTTTTAAGGTATCAGTTGTGTTGTATATGTTCTTGATCCAAAAGGCAACTCATGATATTTTATATAATCTCCTTTGAAGATCTTGATGCAAACAACCTGTAAGGCAATAGCAAAGTGTAAATTCATTAGAGGTTGTCAAGTATTTAGTGCAGTAAAAGGCCAAAACATGTCTAGAGTAATTTCCAAGTTTACATGCAAACATATTTAACACTTCTTGTGAAATTTAAGTTAATTTCAATTTTAAGTTATTTCAAATGCTGATGAAATCACTTACAATAAATGCTGCTACTTGATGTTTAAACATTTTGAGCACTGGTCCTGACTTCCTGTTTTACGGTGACTCCTTTCTCAAGCAGAGTGCTATACAGTCACCCTTGTGTGTGCTAGTAAGCTGTGTATATCTCCATAAACACACAGACACATCGAATCAAGTTACTCCCCTTCCTCCTGGCCCCCTCTCTTCTATCCTCCCTTCTCCAAGCTAGTAGAAGAACAGTTGCTGGAGTCTGCTCTGTCCCTTGTGATCTTGTACTGGACAGGAAGTTAAGGGAAGCTGAGCGGAGAGACTTGGAAGCAGCTGTTCAGAAACATGATGACTGTAAGTGTTTGGGCAAAAATGTAAAGTAATGTTCTGCTGGGCAATGTATATTTGTTTGATCTGGATTCATTGTTGAACAAAACATTTGAGAGCTTTAATATCTAGGGAGGATGAGAGTGAGCTGTTAAAAACCAGGTCAGGGCAGGACAGGGGTGAGATTTTGTCAAAGAGGGAGTCAGTAGCAGAGTGGAGAAGAGAAGGGTCGAGGTGGCGGAGGTTTCTCTGGGTGACAGTGTGCCTTGTAGGGGGAGTCCATGTTGGGGACAGGGTGATTGTGAAACTGACAAGGTTGTGGTCTGAGAGTGGGAAAGGGTTGTTGGAGAGGTTGCAAGGAGTGCATCGGTGGGAGAAAACAAGATCAAGCATGTTACCTTGAGAGTGAGTAGGAGTCAGTGTCCATTGAATTAGATCAAAAGAAGAGGTTAGGTTAAGAAATTGAGTGGAAGCTGGGGAGTTAATGTTAGTAGCAATGTTAAAGTCACCAAGAATGATAGTGGGTATTTCTGAGGAGAGAAAGTAGGGTAGCCAGGCAGAGAAGTCATCTAGAAAGCGAGATAACGGTCCAGGGGGCAGTATATAACAGCAATCCTCAAAGAAATTGGAGAGAATTGGCGAATACAGTGAGTTTCAATAGAGGAGAGTGTATGAAAGGGAGGTGAAGGCAGAATTTGAAAAGTCCATTGCGGGATAGAAGGATACCCACTCCACCTCCTTTCCGTCCATTGTGTCTCGGCGAGTGTGTCCAGTGGAGGCCACCATAGGAGAGGGCAGCAGTGGAGGCAGAGTCGGATTCCTGAAGCCAGGTTTCAGTAACAGCAAGCATGTTAAAGGAATTGGAGATAAGAAGATCATGGACAGCGGTGAGTTTGTTACAGACAGAGCGGGTATTCCAGAGGGCACAAGAGAAGGCAGGACTGATTTTAGGAAGCACGGGAATAGAAATCAGGTTGTGTGGATGAAGGCTGCTGCCAGAGGAAAGGCAGTGCTGATTAGGAGGGTGAGTATTAGAAAAGGGAGGGCCAGGATTGGGAGAGATATCCTCAGGAGTCAGGAGAAGCAGAAGGGTGAGTGAAGTAAGATGAGAGGGCGTTTTGTACGGGTGAACATGCCTCAGTGTCCTGGAGGTAAACCTAGCATGTGGATTCAGAATGAGCAGGAGATGATGATTGCAGTAATAGGGAGAGGGCAGGAGAGAGGGCAAAATATATATATTGTGTGGTGGAGGGGGGGGGGGGGGGGAAAAAAAAAACAGGT